AGTCAGACAGCAGCACGGCAGGCACCTTCTAAAAAGAAAGATTGGATTCTATTTATTCTTCCCTCCCATCAATAAATGCAGACACATTTTTATTATCCTCACAGTCTGCTGACACCTGAAGCATCTTTCCAGAGAATGACACTTCCTAGCCATTACCAACAGGCATAGAGGCTGGGACAGAATGTATTTATTTTATCCTCAGCTGTTGCAACTGATCTTTTCCACCTTCTGTCCCTCCTTCCTGCTTTTCCTTTGACTTCCTACTATCCACCTTTAAAAGTGCTCAGCTTTCCATCTCCTTGGCAAGATGAAATGAGAAGAAACAATCTTCTCCCATCATTGAGATGGGCATCTGTAGCTCACTCTACAGCAGGGCTGAACTGGACAGGCTCATGATGGAGCTGCTCTTCTCTTCTCCCAGCCCCAAGGATGGAGCAGGGCTGCCCATGCCTTCTCCCACAGTTTCTGCAACAACTGAAAACATTTTTACAGGCAGGAAAATGCACAGGTCACCACACCAGCCCCACGCACTTTGTGTGCCATTTCACACGGAGAACCACCCTGCTGATCTGCAACAGCATTCATGTTCTGGGTGCGCTCATCCACGTGTGCCTGTCATGTCCACCGATACATCTTTAAACTAAAAATAAATTCAGCAATTTTGAATACAGTGTCAGTGCACATAGCTGCCTTTACCTGAACTGAGCACTAGGTAGCACTGTCACTCTAAGAAAGCAAATAGAAGCATGTCAACATGGCAATTGTTCTTCCCTTCTGAGACCAGAAAATAAAACGACTACCTTAGAGTAAAACGCGCATTTGTAAAACTACTCAAAATACACCTACAGTTGCAACATTCTCATCATCTCTGATATATAATAGTGGAGTTTTTTTTGAGTATTTATTTCTCCCTTTTTTTTTAAATATGAGAATTGATGATCTTAAAATCTTCAGAAAGCAATATTGAGATTTTGCACCGGTATTTTATGTTTGCAACCATTTGATGTAAGAAAATATGATTAAAGATCATGATGGAATGGCTCCACAGAGCAATCACACAGTAATCAAATTATCTGGAGATCTAGCAAATGATCCTCTCTACCTGCCACCATTCTAAAAGAAAAAAAAAAACAACACCTAAATCTGAAGGTGGGAATAACTAGCTGAACACAAGCCTCTTTAGACACTATAAATGTTAAACCTGGATTCAAGTGCAATAAAAAAAATGCGCTGGGTTTTTCATGACCTTTGCAACTTACTAGTAATCTACTTTAGCAAGTGGTTCTGGATGGATGTGTACTGAATGTCACTGCTCCAGCATAGTCCCCAGGAGGCTCTGCTTTGGTGGTGTGTTCAGAAATCTTCTGTACTTTCCAACACTTTGGAATGCATTAAGTTTATTTATAGTATGTAATTATTTTAGATTCAGCACTCAGATTTTACTGCAGGTATGCTATTTGTATCTGAAAGCTTCTCCGCTCCAGAAAGAGTCTGACAGCAAACCATATGTAGAAAGAAAGCACTTCTCCTGCTAATTTAATCATGCCTGAGTTGTAAAATGCAGCTCTGACTAAGGCGCTGGTTCCTGGAGCCCCAAAGATTTTCTTCTATTCAGTATTTTGAGAATCTGAATGGTATTTTTTCCTCCTATGTTAATAATACAGCAGCTTTAATGAAGCAAGGATGAGAATTTTAGACTCTTCAGTGATTAAGCAATAGAGAGTATTTTAAAGCTTATATATAGGAAAAGATAATTTTACCCATTTTTAGGGTATGGAAGGGAGAAAACACAGAATTTCCAACTTCAACTTGAAAAATCTCCTTCATCTTCTCTTATGTATGCCCAGCTATCCCCAAACCCGGACTCATAGAACCATCACCTCCATGCAAGCTGATGGCAGAGCTAGGAGCACTGAAACATCATAAATTGAGGGAAGCTTTCAACTTCCCTTCCCCAGGTTTGTGCAATGTACTTGTACCCCGATAATGATACTGCATGAAAAAGCTAAAAATAAAAACCCAACCCTTTTGTACCCAGAAAAACAAAGTAATCTCTCCTCCCCATTCACTCTGCTGATAAATTATAGACTTTTTCCATAATATGTTAAAACTTTCTGTTACGCCAGTGAAGATCCTCTTCCTGACACATGCAGGATAACCACACCACAACAAAATCAGGAGCCAAACTATATATTAGAAAATAGGAGCTGGTGTGGGATCAGTTGGTCTACAGATGTACCAGTATGGAAGGTGCAGATTAAGCAGAGCTCTTGTACCAGGTGGGACAAGTGTTGTGATCTATTCTTGTTGTCAAAGAGCAGAGATCATTGGGAAGTATTTCTTCCCCTTCTCTGGGAGTTATGCCTCAGTGCAGCTGTTCCCACTTTCACATCTTGACCGCAGCAGAAATTCATACACAAGAGGCAATATTCAGATTTACGAGCTGCGTTTGCATGTCGCTTTGAAGCAAGATGCTCGCTTACCATTAGAGGCATTACGTCCAACAGTTTGGGAATCTTTACTTTTAACCAGGGATTTGGGTGTTGGATAATCAGCACACATCATTTCAAGACACTATCCAGGCAGGAAGATAACAACTTTTTAAGTTCATATTCAGATTTGAAATTTCTTTTATAATTGCAAAAAATAAGTATGAGTTTGACACACACACACATTTCCCGCACCCCAACCCAAGATAAATAAAATTCAGGAAACTGGTATTTCAGAGTTCTGTTCACTAAGGAAAGTTTTGTTGAACACAGTCAACAGTTAAAGAGAGGATATTCTACATCTTAAAGATGGAGTCAGCTACAAATGACTCATCTTTCCCTCCTCTTACTTTCTCTTGAACTCCACCTGAACCAGCTAAAAAGCTGGGCACCTTGCTTAATTTCCAAAAAAGCAGCTAGATTTTCTCATCTTGGTGTTTTCTCACAATAGCCATCTGCCCAGATCTCTCCTATTTCAGTTCATCAAGCAGCAACACTTCATCTTGGATCAGAGCTCTGCACTACTTGAGATCTCTTTGCTGTGGTCATGGCCATGACCTGTCCTTGCCTCTCATGCATGCTGTCCTCACGCATGAAAGCCCCAAAGCCCGCATGGCAAGGAATTCTTCCATTCACTACTTGGCTCTCTTCAGTGGCTCACTTGTCATTGCAAGTCACTATCAGAGCCTCCTGACCATTTCCAGTTGTAGGGGGTTTAGTACAGCACTGAGCACAAACACTAGTAAAAACACTATTTACTGCCACAAGAAAATCCAGTCATGCACTTCAGGAGATTTGAAAATCTCTTTGAAAATCTAGCACCATCTGTATAAAAGTGATTGCTGTGAACAGGGACAACACAGATTGTCAAGCACTTCATTTTCAGTTCTGGCCTTACAAGGCACTTAAAATTGCTGCTGCCTCTTCCTTATGTGCTGTGTTAACACTTCTGTGGTACCACTTCTCATGGCACCATGAAAAAAAAAAAAACCCCGAAACCTAACTATTGCATATGGTGGTAGCCGTCTTATATTCTTCCTACAAAAGGATCACTTCTTCCCTGCATATCTCACTATCCACACTTGTGAAACCTCATTCAGTCTCAAACAAGCCAGGAAATTTCTAGCTTTCTGCAAGTCAGACATGAAATTCAAGTGCAGAATTAGCACAAAAACCTTCTGCATCGTTAGCTAAATTCAAGCACCTCTTTCACATACTACTTCTAGATCTCTGATAAGGTGAAAATAGATGATGATTTAGAAGCCATAATTTCCAAAGGTACAGCTGATGCTGCTGTAGAGAAGTTCCGTAGAACACAGGGATGTATGAAATCCCACTGGAAAATTAGTTACCATTTTTTTCCTCTAAGTACATCCTTCTAAATTGGTCTGTGACACTGAATTCAGAGACCAGAGTTTGGAGTCTGCTATGAAACAGTGCTGAATAAACTTTTTTTTTTTACTGAATAAATTTTTTAGCACATTCTCAGTAACTTCTCTCAATTGTGAGTATTTCCTAGCAGAGTTTCTATTAATCTCCTTTTAATATTCTCATGCAAGATTTAGCAAGTAAACACTGAATAAATGTGCTTTGGAACTGTATGAATAATTTCCTAGAGTACTACAGAACATGAAGGGACAAAGTATTTTGTGAGGGTGTTTTTGCTTTCACAAACAAATTAAACCTCTCTGAATTGACGACGTAAATTATTCAGCATTATTCCATTTACTAAATTTGGAAGAAATGAGGCTCAGTGTATATCTTTAGGAAAGCAGTGTGTTTTGCAACAGAGAGATGATCCCACTAATAGAGAAGTCTCACAGAATAGCTCCAATTCATGCATTGCATTTATCTGAAAATGCTGATCATGTCAAAAGGAGCACTTGAAACTGGGGGGGGGGGGGGGAAATCAAGGGAGAAAAATTTGCCTCATCTGTAGGTTTCATTATTCATTGACTGATATTTCCAAATGTACTAACAATAAGGCAGACAGGGCCTTCTAAGTCCTTCAGTGCTTTGAAAACCTCCTGTTTTCCTAAAATCAGTTTAACCACTACATCAGTTCCAGGAGGCAGTTTACAAACAGAAGCTTCACAGTAGATATACTAGTGTGTGTATGTGTCATAAGCTTGCTCACAGGCCCCTCCAAAAGAGAACCTTCTAAGAAAATAAAGAATAAATAAAATCCTTCAAAGAAGACTGGGCTTTCATCTGAAAAAAGTAGATGGTGCTACATGGTACAAAATCTCTACTGGGTAGTGGTCATTAAGTGCTCTTACCCCAGGACTGCAATGACAGGAAAAGATAAATGTCAAGAAAGAGGGTAGGTGCAAGTCAACAATAAAAACAAGGACAACAACCAAAAATACATTTGCTTTGATACAATCATTTGGTTTAAACAACCTCACAGAATGGACAGGCTTGTATTGTCTAAGAAAATAACGGAGGCAGCACAGGAGGTTCAAAATGAAGCAGACTAGGAATGTGATGGTTAGCAAAATCCTACTGTACCTCCCGTGCCGCAGTATCATCACGTGCTCGTCTTTGCTACCAGGTGTAGTGTGTGTGGGTGGGGGTGCCTTCAAACATAAATTACCAATAAACACACATTGTATTTAGTGTCAGGGAATTAATTGAGCTTTCCGGAATGAAAGCCTTTTGGCACAAAAATGATAAACTGAGGTTGACCTACCTGAATGGGTCCCACTGACATCAGCAGGTTTTTCAGTTGGACATCAGTAGTTGATGAAGAAAGCCCTTCAACTGACACAATACAGGGCTGAGGTTTGCACTCCACCACTCGCAGGTTCTGTTTATTTGGCATCAAGCGTCCTCGGCCCATCTGGCCTGCTACTCCTCTGCCTCTGCCGTGCATAATGACCTGCCAACAACAAAAGTAACAGTATTTTGATTTACTTACCTAGTGCTTCTGCTCACTGCATTTGACAGATGATATAAGAGTTGGCAATTTACTTAAAGACTTGATTAAAGTACATGTTGATTTGAAACAGCTTGTTGCTGTTTGCTGATTTGAAAGGCCACTTATTAACATACTCATCCACTGCTTATACAAACCTCTTTTAGAAGGATAGCAAGTTCTACATTGAGTTATATATATTGCATTGAGGTTAAAAGCCTCAGCTTTAGTACAGATCGATCAAGCAGTGGAGGGTCTCAGACCAAAATATATGATCTAGTTTTCAACACTGATCACGTCAGCAGCAACCAGTGATCCCGTTCCTTTTTCTCTTCTCAACTTACAGGTAAATTTAATGTACCTGTAAGATTAACAAACTGCTTCAAGCACCTCCACTTTCTATTGCTACCAACTCTTGGTCTGTTATCAGGATGGAGTACTTGCATACGCTAAATAACTTTGAAACAATTTTTTTCAAAGTTCCTCTTATACAATCATAAAATGTTTGGGTTGGAAGGGACCTTAAAAACCATCTGGTTCCAACACCCCTGCCGTGGGCAGGGATACCTTTCCACTAGACCAGGTTGGTCAAAGTCCCATCCAGCCTGACCTTGAACACTTCCAGGGATGGGGCATCCACAACTTCTCTCGGCAACCTGTGCCAGTGCCTCACCACCCTCACTGTGAAGAATTTCTTCCTCATATCTCATCTAAATCTTCCCTCTTCCAATTTAAAGCCATTGTCCCTTGTCCTACCACTACACGCCCTTGTAAAAAGTCCCTCTCCAGCTTTCCCCCAAATCCTGCAGGATCCAGCACCACAGTATCCTCTGGAGCAGGAAATGTGTGGATTTAATTCTTGTAAATTAAAGGTTGAACAGTTGGAGAGAGGAAAAATAACAATGAAACAGAGTAACAAACATTAAACAGAGTTAACACTTAACATTGAGTTAACACACAACACGGTTTCTCGATTCCTACTTGGAAAGTCTACGGAGGGTAATGACTTTTCAGATCCCTCCACATCAGAAAGGTAACTTTATCCTTACATGAAGCAGGAAGATTATGGCCAACAGTTCAAAATCAAGAAATAACTTAAAAGCCAAAATAGCAGCTATTTTCCAGGAATGTGCCACTTTGCAAATGCAGAGAAGGCACACGTCACTGCCACCCGAACCCTCTCCCTGCCTCCTCCCAGTGCATGATCAGTGCAAAAATCAAGTTATGAGATCATGAACTGTTTTGAGCAATACCAACTTTGAGGACTGACCAAAGAGTATCCTGAAACAGTTGCTGTGTGCTCCTACATATGCAGGAAACAGCCAGAATAAAAGCTGAAGCACAACTTCAGAAAAACTCTTGGTTTTAAAGCCAGAAGCATGTTGGATACCTTCTCCTACAGTAGCTATCTCGGGACGCACGCATTTCCCCCAGGGAGTACTGTGCTGGCCAGAAAGTCAGCAGATGAAACAACCTGCAGGCATTGCCAGTCTGTGCTGGGTACAAACAGGTCTCCCTAGATTAAAAGCTTTATAAGCAATTATGCATCTCCTGGGTCATGCAGCCCTGCGCTAGCAATTGACAAACAGAATGCTAGTTATTAATAGAGCAACACAGCTAGACAGTAAAACTTCTAGCAGCAATACGCATCTAAAAATCACCTTTTTAGGTTGATGGATTCCCTGGATGTTTTTGACTCCTTGAGGAGCTGGTGAATGGATCTGTGCCTGCTGCTGCTGTTGGTGCTGCTGCTGTTGCATTCCCTTTGTCAATGTGACCTTCCGCACTGGCTGCTGTTTCGGCTCCGGGGGTTGTTGAGGCCGCTGGGGCTGGCCCTCTGGGTGAAAAAAGCCAGCATCCTCTCCCCCCTGCTGAAATCAACAACACAACAGGCGGCTTCAATGTCCAGGCACTGAAAACCATCA